CACATATCTCTGAGATATTATATATTGGAGATATATATTGAAAATACACATATGCCTGAATAGAAATTGTAACCCAAATTCAATGAGTGTAGCTCAGTTGGATACGGAGGCTAAGTAGATGGATAGAGAATTTGTGTTCGATTCCCACCAAATATATCTTTGAGAAAGGTGAAAAACTTTAACTTTAACTTTAACTTTAACTAACCCGATTTGGAATTAGTCTCATAGTCGGCTCAAAGAATTAAAAGTTATGTTGATACTCGGGAGCCAACTCGCTTCCAAGAGGTAATTAGAATTGGTATAACAAAAAAAAAAAAATTTGTTACCCAAGAGCTTTGCTACCTTTGTGGTCTTGCCCAACTTAATTTAGTCAACTAATCAAAGATGCATGATCCGAAAAATGTTGTAGTTCTTTCGATTTTGCGAGGCTACTAGTTAGCATAGTAATGTAGATTTCCTTTTGAACAAGCAAAATGTAAGCGAATATCGAAGGTTATGAAGTAACTTCCTGAATCCAATGCATGGTTACTCACCAATTTAGCAACAAAGTTATCTCTTAACGATCTGAAATCAAATGTACGCGCGAGTAACGATCCATATTTCAGTCAGACTAACATATTGTTGGGAACTTAAAAAGCAGAAATATGAGAGATGGGTTAGGCGCATTTCCTTCACGCGTGTGAAAACTTTCTTTCTGTTAGGGTTTTTCTTCGCTGATTTTTGCTGGTGCCATGGGAGATCCAATGGAGATTAGGAACGAGACTTTGTCCATGATAAGATGAAGTACTAAGCGTACCAAAAGTGGTGATGAGATTCCAATCGTAGATCGTATGCGAGTCTCGATCAAGGAATTTCAGAAGGGAGAGGCTGGGTCTGCGAAGCCGCGATCGTTTGCTGAAGTCACTGGGGTGGAGCACGGGGTGTTGGGAGAGGCCACTCCATGGCTAACTGGGGAGGAAGAGCCTGAGGGGGTGTTTGGTTGGGGTAAAATTTTTGAATACTAGGAAAATGTAAATACCAGGGATCTGCAGGGAAAGTGAGTTAGATAGGAAAATTTTAAAAAAGTTGTTTGGTTGGACAAAATTTTACCAGGAAAATTGAATGAAATTTCTGAGTGTGTGTTTGGTTGAAGATAAAAGATTGATGGGAAAATCCTACGAAATTACAAAAATATCCTTATAAAAACACCTTGTTAATAATGTGTCTCTCTTCCATTTTCGCTGTCGTAGGTAGAAGGGAACTTTGAGAGGAACAAGGTTGGAGATTTTGCAGGTGTTCTGCATTGTACCTATTTCGTTCCAATATGTATCAGTTCTATGCCTTTCTGCAGACGATTTTGATTTCTTCTACTTTGTTCAGCAGGTAAATCATAAGTTCTGCTAATCTTGAATGTTTCTTTTTCCTTCTTCTTTTTTCATGTATTGATTCGTTTAAGTTTTATATCTCTCTGCATATTTACATTTTATTCTGATTCTTATCTTTGAATTATGAATAATGCAGTGACCTGGATCATACTGTGACACGAAGCAGAGTTGCTGCTATCCAAAGACTGGAAAACCTACAGCAGATTTCGGCATTCATGGACTCTGGCATAAGGTTCTGGTCACATGAATGGCAGAAACATGGTACCTGCGCTGAATCTGAGATTGATCAGCGTGAGTACTTTGAAACAGCTCTCAAACTGAAGCAGAAAGTGAACCTTCTTCAGAACCTCAAGGATGCAGGTACACGACACTTTATCTAGCTCCCAATACAAACTTAAACAGACAGAATTTTTAAGCCTCTGATGATGAGAGCTTAAAAATTAAGCATATTTACAAAACTCTTTCTAATCATTTTAAGGAAAATGAATTTCAGGGATTGAACCAGATGATGAATTTTACAGCCTAGACAGCATTAAAGAGGCTATAAAATAGGGTTCTGGGTTTACCCCAGGGATAGAGTGTAATAAGGATTCAAGTCATAACAGCCAGCTTTACCAAGTTTACATGTGTGTGGACACTTCTGGCTCAAATTTCATTGAGTGCCCTATCTTTCCAAAGAGCAAATGTGATTCACAAATACAATTCCCCAAGTTTTAAGAGAATTTAGTTGAGCAGAACATTGTTTAAACTTGTTGCTTTCTAGTTATTATAGTACTTCTAATCTTTCACAAGATGACTATGCAGCCATCTTCCTTTGTATGTATGTGCCTTGTAATAATAAAAAGTCTACGGGATTGTGATGTAGATCGATAAATTTACATCAGATTGCCAATTCGGATTTTGAATTGAGCTCTTGCTATGCAGGAATGTCAAAGGGACCCCCCATCTCATACTGATTTTATCCCACAATTTAAAATGCTTACAAAATGAAAAAATAGTATATCCAATTTGAGGATTGAGTGGTGAATACTATTTTGTGTAAAACCTTTTGAAACTGATTAGGAAATGGTTAAAAATGCAAACCCAATTGACGAGTCATTGTTTGTGTGAAAATAATTTAAACGGCCTTGTGCTATGTCATGCTCATTCACAATGCAAAGGGTTACAACTCCTATAATGTCCTCAATGAAAGCATCGGTCACATTAATAGAAACTACATTAAAAGTTTGTTATACTTGATATTATCTCAAGAAGACTCAAATCCACAACAAAGTAAAACTTTAGGCTGCTGGTTATTCCATTGGCCATCATGTTTAACCATTAACATGAACTAATATGATTATGAACTAACCAGTTACTATACAACCCATTCGGAAGCCATCTTAATAAAAGAAGCAGTTCCTGCAAGATGCAGACATCCAAACAAAAAACTGTAGATCATTGTAATTTAACCCCTTGAGGTAGCTGTAAAATACATAGGAGGACCTAACTCTATGCTAACGGTATGGGCTAAACTCTATCAAAGGTAAAAGGGCCAGTAAAACTCTTTTTTCATGAAACTAGCTGCAACATTTCCATTATATACCATCCTTGCCTCCTTGAAAAATCTATATATGGCTTGGTCTCCTCTTCCCAGAATCTGTTCTATGGCGCTTTACATGTTTTGCCCAGGCAACTGACCCACCCCCGTGCATGGGGAGTTTGTTGAGCCACTCTAGCATCCTTTGGGGTTGAACCTGACCTTGGACTTCTTATAACAGGACCCATGCTAGGTGGAGAAACAGGACCAGCTGATCCAATCCTAGCCTTTGATTATTTTGATGAAGCAAGACATTGATCTGACAATAGAATTGGTAAATTCGTTCCACCACCAAAGCTTACAGCAAGACAACCTCTCATTATCAAAAAATCATGAAAAAAACCATTGGTGAATAACAAAATATGATCAAGTAATTGCCATCCAGGAAACCAAATCTGATTCATAACAAGATTTAAGTATATCTTCACTTGAGGCTTTAAGCCATCAAAATAATAAATGAATCAATTATGAAAAGCAACAGGACATTGGAAATCTGCATTATAATCTGCATGTATAAAGAATCAGAAATTGGGTATGGAACGATTTTGAGGAATTTAGCTCAGCTTTTCCAGTTTCCTTTACCATATTTTAAGAGAGAAGCATATATTAATTCATTCCAAGTATCTGGTACTCCAGGCAAGCACCAATGACTGCACTGCAATGCATCATATTTCTGGTATATGAAGTTACATACAGCTATTGCATCATAGTGGAGACCATTTCAGCATCACCCTTTCAGAATATTTGCTTTCCTGTCAATTTCTTCACGTTTAATAAATCTTGAGACAGAGTGGAAACATTATAACATTAGGTTGCCTTTTTATTATGTTTAATATTTTATGTTATCACTTTAATATTTTGTAAAATATTAACAGTTAAAGATTCATAAGAATAATTTAATAATAAAAATATTTAAAAAATTCAATATAATAGTACATCAATGATCAACCTTTACAGAACTTGAAAGAATTTTTTAGATTTATCGATTAATTAACTAATTTGATTAAGTTAGATAAATGATAAAATTTTACATCCTAAATTTTTAACACTCGATTGGAAAGTATCTTTGAATATTATACAGAGGGTCAAAGATATAAACCATGCACATCTTTTTGGTGGCGAGCTAGACAACAACGTTAGGTGTGAAAACAAATGCATACTGCCTAATAATTTCGTAAATTAGCTTCCAAAATGAAAAACAAGAAAAATAAATAATAATAATTTGACATAAATTAGGTTTTAAGCTTGTCCATTCACTTTGTATATTCTTACCGAAATATTCTGACGAAGACTGGCCAAAAGAAGAGGATCTCTTGACTGTACCTAATAAAATCAGGCGGTGGTATTGATCCAAGTAGCTTGTCCGTCGAGGTAGATCCAAAACAGGGGTGTCTTCTTTAGCTACGCAAATGGAAAGTGAAACGAAAGACAAGAAAAATTATCAAGTGGCTTTCCAATGAAACTGGACACAAAGCTTGATTCCAAAACAGACAGATGTTACCATTACCTCAAAACCGACCACAACCATCTGGGTTTCATCAGTCATGGTAAGGTTTCGTCAGTCCAAACTCTTGGGTTTCAGAACAGCGCGAAGAAGATTGTGAATGATCAAATATGGCACGCGATGAGAGATAGCTCCATTCACCAAATCGAAGTCAGACAGCAAGTTGTTTGGTATGTGGCTGACATTGGATAAGACGAGGGGTAACTTTGTCAAATTTTTCGTCCCTTTTCAAGTTATCCGGTATTATCTCAAAATACCATCGTCGAAAAGGGTTTCTTGAACAGTGAAAATTGCCCTGATTTACACTAAAACATCGATAGCTAGGGAAGTATGTTTGATGGCTAAATTTTGGGTTATCCCCAACCAAACGTGGAAAACTGAGTTACCTACATACACTTTGCTGGGATACTAAGGAGAAGTCCCGAACCAAACACAACCTGAGGAGGAGCCTCTGGATCCGAATCTAGGGGCGATTTCTGAATAGGGCTTTTAAACAATTGTGAGGGAGGACGGATCGGTAGAGATCAAGAGTAATAAGGAAGCGAAAGCTCGTATGAGGCAGCGCTGGAAGAATGCCCTGATTGTGAAGCTCCTTGGCAAGAAAATTGGGGTAGGATTCATGAAGAAGAAGTTGGAATCATTCTGGGCAAGGACAGGTAGCGTCACTGTCGCTGATTTAGGGAATGAGTTTTTTTCCGTGCGATTCACTAGCTTGGAGGATTTAAACTTGGCCATCACTGGAGGACCATGGGTAATCTTTGGGCATTATCTAGCTACTAGGAAGTGGGAGCCATATTTTGATCCAGAACAGGCTAACATCCATAAGGTAGCTGCCTGGGTAAGACTTCAGGGAATTCCTCAGGAGTACTGTGAGTATCCTTTCCTCAGTCAATTAGGGACAGTAATTGGTAAAGTCCTAAAAGTGGACAAGACTACTTCAACTGGTGATTGGGCACGATTTGCTAGGGTGTGTATTGAAATTGATTTGGCTAAACCTCTGAGAGGAGAGTATATTTTGGATGGATGTCTGAAGAAGGTAGAATATGAGGGGTTGTTCCTGATATGCTTGAGATATGGTCGTTATGGTCACAATTCAGACTCTTGCCCTGACTTTGCTAAACCAGTCCCTATGGCAAACCCTGTTCCAGTTCCTGAACAACCAGTTGATATTTCTGGGGTGCAAGGGGTAGGACTGTGGATGGTGGTGCAACGTAGGAAGAAAGGTGGTCAAGGCAACAAGAAGGCCGAAGTAAGCTCTAATAGATATTTTGGGGAGGATTTATCCAACAAGAACTCTAAGGTAACCACTAAGAAAAGTGTGTCAGTGATCAATTCTCAGAAGAGTATGCCAGTTAATGTGCCTACTGTGGTGCCTCCTACTAGTTTGGTGAATAAGGAAAATCTTTCCTTGGAGAGTGAGACTCTGATTCAAGACCAGGGAATGAAGTTCTCAGCAAAGGCAGCTATGCCAGTTAGGAAACCTGTTGGATCAAAGCCTTCGGTGGCTAGCAGTAGGAAGTTGTCTTCCAAGGCTTATGCAGTTAAGGGCAAGGGGGTAACCCAACCTATAGCTCCTGTTGTAGAAGACAGTAGCAGCTCATACCTGAGGGAGCCAATTATGGATTATTCTCAGGGTCCTGTGGAGATGCAGAAAGGAAAGCTATGGGGAGATTCGATGATGGCAGTGGATGCATCCTTGGTGAAGCCTGACCCTAACCAATCAGAAGCTCTAAGGCACTCTGCCTTGTTGCTTAAGGAGATTACTTTGAAGGACCCAGACCCTCCTGATGTTGTTTTGAGTGTGACTACTAGTAAGATTGGAACTCAATCAGGTATGGAGGTTGACCAGGCTATTTCCTCTTCGAATTTAGTTTTGAATTGTGTGAATTCTGATGTTATTATAGAATAGAGTAGTCAAGATAATCAGGATGCTGAACCTAGTACTGTTAGGGAAAGTAGCAAGAACTTAGGAATCTTGCATCATCCTAACCTATCCTTATGAATATATTGACTTGGAATTGTAGAGGTGCTGTAAATAATAAGTTCAAGAGCACCTTTAACAGGTTTAGGAAAAAATATGGGGTTGGAGTGGCTGCTATTTTGGAGCCAAGGGTGAGTGGTAATAAGGCTGTTAATATAATTAGGAGGCTTGGCTTTACTAATTACATTATCTCTGATGCTAAAGGTTTTGCTGGAGGCATATGGATCTTATGGGATCCTTTGGATGTACATATTTCTTTGATTAGGAAAGATGACCAGTTTGTTCATGTTTGGGTGGAATTTCCAGACAAGAGAGGTTTTTATTGGACTGCTGTGTATGCTAGTCTAAAAGAGGATAGGAGGTTTTTTCTTTGGGAAGATTTGAAACACCTTGGTAGGAACATGAATGATCCCTGGATGATGTCAGGTGATTTTAATGAGATAGCTTCTGCTTCTGAAAAAAGAGGTGTGCTCCAGTTGATCTTAGAAGGTGTAACAGATTTAACAATGTGTTGAACTCATGTGGTGTTATGGATTTAGGGGGAGGAGGTAACAGGTTTACATGGAAAGGGCCCAAGTTTCTTCACTTGAAAAGGATTTTTAAAAGGCTGGATCGTGCTGTTGCTAATGATCTGTGGAGAAATTGTTTTGATCTAGCTGATGTGGTGACCCTTCCTAGGATGTTCTCTGATCATTGTCCTGTGTTACTCTGATTGGAGATAGTTGAGTCAGCTTGGAGGGAGAGACCCTTCAGGTTTCTTGCTGCTTGGCAGAAGGATCCAAGGTTTAGCCTATTTCTAAATACTAACTGGGATTCTACTTCTAAGCTTCAAGATAGTCTGCAATCTCTTATTCATCAGGTGAAGCTTTGGAACAGGGAAGTGTTTGGATTCATTGAGCATAGGAGAGATAGGGTGACTGCTAGGCTGGAGGGTATTCAAAGGCTGTCTAATTCTACAGGGCATAGTCATTTAGAAGACCTGGAGAGCAAATTGAGAAAAGAGCTAGCTGAGATCCTGGACTATGAAGAGCAAATATGGTTCCAGAAATCAAGGGGTGACTGGATTAAGGATGGAGATAGGAATACCCGTTTCTATCACACAAGTACTCTAATCCGTAGAAAAAAAAATAAGGTCATTAAGCTTCAAAATAATTGTGGAGGTTGGGTGACTGGTGAGGAAGATCTGATTGAGTTAGCCAGAGACTACTTTCAGAATCTGTTCAAGGAGGAGAGATCTATGTCAAGCTGGTTTCAAACCTGTTTCACTTGGCCTGTTATCAGTTTGGACCAGAAGCTACTTCTATCCTTAGAGGTTACTGATGAGGAGATCAAGGAGGCCTTTTTCCAAATGCCTTCTTTGAGAGCTCCAGGGCCAGATGGGTTTCCTGCCTTGTTTCTTCATAAAAATTGGGGTTGCTAAGACATCAGATCATTGGTTGTATGAAGTTTTATCTGCAGCATCCAGATCAGATAAGGGAGATTAATCACACTCTGATTGCCCTCATTCCTAAGGTAGATAGGCCCTGCTCGATGAAATAGTTTAGAGCTATTGCTCTATGCAATTCTATCTACAAAGGTTTGAGTAAGATACTGGCAAATAAATTAAAACCTCTCCTAGGTGACCTCATTTCACCTAATCAGGTCAGTTTTGTCCCTAAAAGACACATTCAGGATAATATTATCATAGTTCAGGAACTTATCCATGCTATGCACAGGATGAATGGAAAGAAAAGTTTCTTCTCCCTGAAGATTGATTTGGAGAAAGCTTATGATAAGCTTGATTGGAGGTTTATCAAATCTATATTGGAAGACTTGAAGCTGCCTGGTGACTTCACTGATGCTATTATGGGATGTGTAACCAGTCCTTACCTTGAAGTGCTGTGGAATGGAGCTAGAACTCCTGGGTTTTATTCGCAGAGGGGTATAAGGCAAGGGGATCCCCTATCCCCTTACCTTTTTGTTCTCTGTATGGAGAAACTCACACATTTGATATTGGATGAGGTGGGGAATAAGAAGTGGCTTCCTATTAGAGCTGGAAAAAATGGTCCCTTTGTTTCACACTTGCTCTTTGCAGATGACATTGTTCTCTTTGCAGAGGCTTCTATCAGTCAATTGGAGTGCATAACTGGTTGTTTGGAGAAATTTGCTAATATGTCTGGCCAGAGTGTTAGCTTGGAGAAATCCTGCATCTTCTTTTCTAAGAATGTAGGACAGGAAGCAGAAGAATTAATTATTAGGGTCAGTGGATTTAAGAAAGTTAGGAATGTTGGTCGTTATTTGGGAGCCCTTATAAGGCATATAAGAGCCAAGAGAGATCACTATGCAGATGTTATTGCTAGAGTTCAAAATAGACTCCAAGGCTGGAAATCCAAATGCTTGTCCTTGGCTGGCAGAATTACTCTAGCCAAGAGTGTCATTTCTGCTATTCCTGTATACCATATGCAAAATAGTATGCTCCCTGTTCATGTGTGTAAAGAGATTGAGAAAATCCAACGTTGCTTCATTTGGGGTGATTCTGAGGATAAGAGGAGAGCTCACTATGTAGCTTGGGACCAGATGTTCCTGCCAAGGGAGTATGGAGGACTTGGTATCATCAACCTCAGAACCCAAAATGAGGCATTCATGCAGAAAATTGATTGGCAGCTCACAAGTGATCAAGAGAGCCTTTGGGCCAAGGTTCTTTTTGGTAAATATGGTAGAAGTCAGGATCCAAGAAGAAAGTTTTTAGCTAAAACAAGCGATTCTCCCCTGTGGAAGAACATTTGCATAGCCAGAGAAAAATTATCTATGAACTTAACCTGGATGCTAGGTAATGGGAAATCTATTTGCTTTTGGATGGATAGGTGGGGTGAGTGGCAGGATTGCTTGTTTGAGCTTGCTAGTACCAAACCTCCAGACTCAGACTTGGATTTGAAAGTCTTTGACCTTATTGACAAAACATCAGGGGACTGGAATTGGGAACTGATGGAGAAGTACCTAGATGAAGCCACTCTATATAGACTGCGTGATATTTGTCCACCTGCTTCTGTTAATGCAGAAGACTGGCTTGTTTGGAGAAGAAGCTGCCCAAGTAAATCCCTTGTTCGAAATGCCTACTGTCAAAGTTTTGACCTCAACATTAGTAAGGATAAGATTTGGTCTAAGCTGTGGAAATGGAGAGGCCCCTATAGGATTGCTGTGTTCCTATGGTTAGCCTGCTTGAATAAGGTTCCTGTTAGAAGTATCACTTGTCATTGGAGTGGAGGAGAAATTTTATGCCCTATCTGTTTATCCCATCCAGAGTCAGTGATGCATCTGCTTAGAGACTGCAAAGGTGCTAGGAGTGTGTGGAAGGTGTGGTTTGAAGGAAGTATTCCTAACTCATTTAATTCTGCAGAAGGGCTTGATTGGTTTAGGCTTAACATTGTTAAGACCTTCTCTTCTAAGGCTTAGAATTCTTGGCAAGAAATTTTTTATGTTTCTATTTGGTTCCTTTGGCAATGGAGGAATGATGTGGTCCATGACACTTTTTTCTCCTGGCCAAATAATCCTGTGTTTAGGATTTTGTGTTACTTGAAGGAAATGAAACTGACTTCTGGTGTTGATCCGTTCATAGTTGATAACTCTGTGCCTGTTTTAGCCCTGGGAGGTCCAGTTCATCTAGCTGAGATGGAAGGAATCAAAGTTTATGTTGATGGTGCTGTCAATATTTTTTCCAGAATTGGTGCTTGTGGTGGAGTCATCTGCACAACTAGTGGAGTTTGGCTAGGGGGTTTCACATTCAACATTGGTTCCTGCACCATTTTGGAAGCAGAATTATGGGCAATCTCTCTTGGACTCAAACTTGCTGGTGATTTGCAGCTCTCAAATGTGTGGCTAGGCAGTGACAGCAAAGAAGCACTTCTCTGCTGTGATACTAAAGCTGGTCTGATTCATCCTCCCCCTTGGTGCAGAGACTGTTAAAAGAGATCCATGGTTTCGACCAAGTTAAACTGGAATTTATTCCAAGGCATTTGAATTGTTGTGCTGACAGTTTAGCTAAATTAGGATTCAATAGTAGGGAAGGAGAGTTGGTGTTTTTTCACTCTCCTCCCACTAGTATTCTTCCTTTTTGGAATGAGCTTTGTAAAGAATTTTTGTTGGAGCATGTTTCTGTGAACATGCTTACGCTTTCTATATAGTATTTCTGGGCTAGGCCCTCCATTTTTACCAAAAAAAAAAAACATATTGTTGGGATATTGAACATGTTTTATTCATTTATTTTTTGAAAACTGGAAAAACTAACAGGAATTAAGTATATAACTGAACATGCATTTTAGAGTTATCAAAATGGTTAAAAGTCCACGGGCCAACCTTTTTAGCCCTATTTTCAACCCCATTTTTGTTAACCCATTATGTAATAGAGCTATTCTTGGCCCCAGCTGTCCCAACCCTCTTAATGCTTTTATATATGATATTAATGTTCCTCTTGTTGAAGGAGATAAAATTATCTCATACAAACTTAAAATGATGTCATTTTGTAGTTACGAGTAAACTATTTTTTCCCTCTATATATAAATATAGGGAGATGATCATTTGACACAAAATCGTAGACTAAAGATTATAATTTATTGAGAATTAATAATTTAATGAATAAATGTGACCAATAAATTACAAACATTAGATCTACGGAACTCAAATATTAAGATTTAGTATCAAATTTTTTAATTTGATATCGGTATTGAATAATTTTGTCTCATATATATATATATATATATATTTATTGTTGATCTTGTCGTGATCACTACGAAAATTGGGCACCGTCTGGCCCAAAATACGAATAAAACATTAATGCCATCGGGGCTTCTTAATGTTATATAATTATATATAACTTGAATATCATTAAGTGCTTGTCCACTTGCTGAAAGTCGTGTGGAGCTAGCAGAGTCTATTCAAGTTATAATTCTTTTTTTTTGGTGGATGGTATTCAAGTTATAATTCTAATTACTTTTTATATTGGTATATTTTATGGATTTAATGACTCTCATTTATAGGAGATAAAATTATCTCTATACATATAAAAATACGAGCTTCAAGTAAAGCTATATAAAGAGAAGAGAGAAAGAGAAAACATGACCCACTTATACTTGTATATATATATAGAAATAATTTTATCTATAACAACATTAGAGATATTAAACCCATTTTTTTATGAAAAAAGTGTATGTCATTTTAAAGGATATAAAGTTGTGTCATTTTAAGAGAGAGAAAGAGATAAATAATGGAAGAGAGAGTTGACAAAAAATAAAAATAAAGGTGTTGGTCTCATCTCTTTGTGAGAGTAAAATGATATAAGTTGTGTAGGATAAACATTTTTCCCATATTTTATATATCTAAACACTTATATCTAAAAATCTTTCATTACTCTAATGTTATCCCTTATCGGACTCAGCATGGAAAAACTTAAAAAATGAGAATGTAGAAGGACAGCATGTCAAGAGACAGTCCGGAATGGCTGCTTGAAATCATCTTATCAAACATCTGACTTTCTTCTATATATTGATGCAACCGTGGTGTAGTCCTATCAAGCCTTCGACACATACCATTTATATTCAGGAAAAACGAGCTAACCATCTTCAACTTGCAACAATGGGGCTGTTACCAATTTTGCGTCTGACCCTTTTGCCATTAATCATCTATCACACCACCTTCACCTCGGGTGCTGTAGATCCCACACAAGGCTTCACCCTTCTTCCGTTAGATAACGCAAACTTTGTTGTCCAAAAGCCTTACAATGTTCCACAAAACCAGCGTTACTGCTTTACAAATGGAGTGCACAAGTTTTGGGTATATTCCACAGACAAGCCTCACACACCTAACAGCAACACACAGCCACGAACTGAGATTCGTATCTGTGTAAGGCCCAATAATTTAATCGTTCATTTATTTCACAATTCATTATTAAGAAGCAAACATGAGCCTAAAGTTTTCACTTTGCAGGGATACGATTATACATCTGGTGTATGGCAATTTGAAGGTTATGGTTACGTGCCTAGTGGCACAACCGGGGTGTGCATTATGCAAGTGTTCGGTGGAAGTTCCTCTGCCACAACCTTGCAGCTTAGGATCTATGATGGTTCGCTCACTTATTATAGGTCCTCTGTTCTGTCTGAGAACATCTACAATAGGTGGTTCAGGGTGAACGTGATTCATGATGTGGGTGCCGCCAATGTGAAGGTTTATATTGATGGGGTTCTAAAGTATGATGGAGCTGACCGTGGAGCAGACACTCATTACTTCAAGTTTGGGGTTTACACACAGAATGATCCTTCCAACTACATGGAATCTCGATGGAAGGATATCAGAGTTTTTAAAAAGTAGGTTGTGCTTTCATATCAGTACCTAATTTGAATAAGACAATACAAGCAGAAAACTTGTTTTACATATGACTGTTTAGAAATCAATTTTTTAATTGTAACAGACAGGTTTGGCCTATGATTGGTTACGATCTTAATTGGGATGGAGATACTCTCTGTCTTTGTTCGGTTTGACATTATTTGAAAGTGTAAAATTTCATCATCTAATCCTTTATAAAAATAAGTGTTTAATATTTTGCTTATGCCATACAAATTCTTATTATGGCGTATTGATATAAAAATGAGTGAATTTAAATAATATTTTCTCTCTCTCTTTTTTATATTGTGATCAACTCACTTTTACGTGAGTGTGACAATTTTTTTTTACAACAAAAACAGAAATATTATTTTCTTAAAATAATAATCATTCTATTACTGGTAATGAAGGAAAAAAAATAAAATTCAGTGCAGACATTGCATTGAACATCAATGTATCAGTAATTTATTTATCCTAGAATATGCAGGTGGATCATGAGATTCTAAAAATTTACACAGAATCTACTTATATATCCCACAATAAATAAACTACCAATGTACCCAAGGTGCATCGGTTGCGCTAAAGTTTTGTTCTTACAGTGGAAAACATCGACAAATAACCTTCAATCAACAAGTTATAAAGGAAGATCACAACTAGAACTAAAACGGAAAAAGCCAGCACAACCAACCTTACCAGTAATTTCAAAAGGATATTTGACTTGCTTATAATTTATTTTTGAGATAATTTCTACCTTTTTTACTTTTCTATCTTCTTTAATAAAGCGCAAATTTTGAGTCCTGCAAGTAAATATTTGTTTGGAAGAATTTCTCGTAAAGTGGAATAAAAAACAATGATTATCGCCGCTGATTTGGAAAACATAATATTTATATTCTCTCGGGAGAGAAAGACACAAATTTTCTTGACAAAAAAAATTAAAATATTACTATTTTAATAAATAATTACGAATAGGTTACATTTTGAATATTATTTTTGAATTTATTGCAGTCATTCACGTCTAAATTAGGCGTGACTATTCACACCTAAGTTAGGCGTGACTCTCAAGGCATTCACGCTTAAATTAGGCGTGACTCGTCTGGTGTTGACACGTAATTAATAGTGTAATCGTAAAACTTTATAAGGCCATAACTTTTGACTCGGGTATTTGAATGAGGTAATTCTTTTTTTTGATTCCACATAACGTTTCGAGATTTACGCAATGACATCTCATTTGATATATTTTATCTCCCACAAACACAATTCAAATTTGCAACAATGATACTATAAAGATGGCACCAAAGTGGATTAACTCATCTATAAATAAGATGACACCAAATTTCCTATTAAATACAAAACGCAATCAGCTCCTATTAAATACAAAACACAATCAACTCTTATAACATTAAATTCAAAGTTCAAATAACCTCCAGCAAATTTATTTGAATTGGCGACAATCTGTAACCAACTCACAAAATTATAACGCAATCAGCTCCTATTAAATACAAAACACAATCAACTCTTATTAAATACAAAATGCAATCAATTTATGAGAGGTTATTTGAATTTTGAATTTTGAATTTAATGTTATAGTACCATTATTGGATGTGAATGAGTGCAATATATTCGTAATTAGGTTCAAAACGGAAATTTATTCGTAATTATTTATTAAAAAAGTAATATGTTAATTATTAAAATATATACAAATTTATATAATATTCTACCAAGTGTTTAGAATATTTATTTAATTATCTTCTTTATTAATACAGATTTTTCAAATTGATTTTTGAGTTTAAATTACAAATTAAATATATTTTTTTCTTATTAATAATAATTTTTTAATTTTTTTTTGTAATACACTATATAATACAATTATTGCAAGTTTGAATTGTGTTTGTGAGAGATAAAATATATCAGATGAGATGTCATTGTGTAGATCTTGAAAAATTATGTGGAATCAAAAAAAGAATTACCTCATTCGAATACCCGAGTCAAAAGTTATGACTTTTCAAAGTTTTACGGTTCGTAAATTGACTTTTGTCGCCACGTGTCAACACCAGATGATTCACGTATAAATTAGACGTGAATGTCTTGGGAATCACGCCTAATTTGAACGTGAATAGTCACACCTAATTTGGACGTAAATAATTTCAAAATAACTATATATTCATAAATATTTATTAAAATAGTAATATTTTAATTTTTTTGCCAAATAATCTTATAGAAAGACTTATTATTGGCGGGCATAGGAACTTGGTCCGGGCATAGGACCGGACCAAACGCATATAAAAGAAAGGGACTTTTCGATTATTTTTCTTTTTATTTTGTAGTTGCTAAAAGAAGACTTGAGAACTGAGAAGGGAGGATTAAATCAAGCCATCAACGATGACAGTTTCTGGAACAATACCCTGCAAAAATAAAGGCACTTGATAACAAAGTAACTAATAAACTTCAAATGTTAGTCAAACATCTTACAAAGGTTATAAGATAAGTACCAAAAAGCAAATATTTCAAAAAAGAACACAAACAGATATAAGGCAGCTAATCAGAAAAATAGACTGTAACACTTAGTAAGCTAGATCAAAGAAGTAAACAAATAATAATAAGCGAAGGGAAGCTTGCACAAGTTATAATTGTATTTGCAAAATTCCTATGCAACAAAAAAATTGTATTCCCCCCCCCCCCCCCCCCCCCCCCCTTAATTAACATGACGTGGTCATTTGTATGAAAAAAAAAAATAGAAGATGATCAAAATCAGGTATATAGAATATCCTTATAGGGCCCCCTCCCTTCTTAATTAACATGACGTGGTCATTTGTATGAAAATAAATAAATAGAAGATGATCAAAATCAGGTATATAGAATATCCTTACAGGGCAGCATAAGATGAGACGTTAATTTCAGTACAAACGGATTCTTTCAGCCGGTTGCCGTCTGCTTCGACAAAGAGATTCTCAACAATTATTGCTCTGGACCTCGAGGTACTCCCCCTCCTACGCCTATATATATGTATATTATACTATAATTTGACTAAGTTGCCATAAGCCACTTCAAATCCAAATCTCAATGGATCCTTTTGGAAGAATGGGATATATTTGCAAGGCTATGGTGTTGGAAACTCGGTTCCTTCAGATTGGCTCAGAAGTTTTTTTGCGGAAGTCAATCAACAAGATCTTCGATCTTGGATCTCGGCAATACCTCGGCCTGAACTTTACCAGGTCGGGCAGTGTAGCGGAAAAAATCAAAACGAAAACGGGAGAGAGAAGGAGAGAGAACACAAACAGTTTTAACGTGAAAAAACTTTCTCCAATGAAGAAGTAAAAACTCACGGGACCTAGTCCAGATCAAAAATTCACTATGAAAATAATGGTTACAAATAATTCGAATCACCAATGTGGTGGTTAACTCAACCTCTCCAACAATGGTAATAATCAAACCTCCCTAGAGATGTTTCACTCAAACTCTCTCTAGAGATCTCTCAAATACAAAGCATAAAGCTTTGCTATTAAATCTCAAACAATTTTCTCTCAAATATCAAATCTCTCTCATCTAACCTAGCCTCCACCATCAACTAATGAATATATAGAGGAGGTGGAATTTAGGATTTTTGGGAAACCCCTCAATGGGCTTGGGCTTAGCATTGAAGGAGGAAGCCCAACAAATCTCCCCCTCCGACTTCAATGCGTCGGCTTCAGCATCAACCCGGCTCCTTCACAGCGGTCTTCAAATTTCCTTACTGGAACCAGCTTTGTCATCATGTCGGACCAATTTTGGTCAGTGTGCACTTTGACGAGTTCGAGCTCTCCACCTTCCACCACATCCCGGATCCAGAGATACCTCACATCAATATGCTTAGTGCAGGAGTGATAGGTCGAATTCTTCGCAAGATGGATTGCGCTTTGATTGTCACAACCCAGCTCATACTTGTCTTGATCATGGCCGAGTTCCATGAGGAACTTCTTCATCCACAGCATCTCTTTGCTTGCCTCAGTAGCGGCAATGTACTCAGCCTCAGTTGTCGATAGTGCAACACATTTCTGAAGTCTTGATTGCCAAGAGACAGCTCCTCCGAAAAATCTCATCATATATCCCGTCGTCGATTTCCTCGAGTAGGAATCTCCCCCTAAATCAGAATCCGAGTAGCTTTGCAACTCAGCTTTGCCTTCTCCAAATCGGAGACATAAATCAGTCGTACCTCGGAGGTACTTGAAGATCCACTTCACTGCTTCTCAGTGTTCTTTGCCGGGGTTTGACAGATATCGGCTTACGATTCCAACAGCATACGCCAAGTCGGGTCTAGTGCAAACCATTGCATACATCAAGCTTCCGACGACGGATTGGTACGGGACCTTCATCATCTCATTTTTGTCTTCATCAGATTTCGGACATTGCTTCTGGTTCAGCTTTATGTGTCCGACTAGGGGGGTGCTCACTGTTTTGGCTTTGTCCATGCTGAATCTCTTCAATATCTTCTCAATGTACTTCTCTTGACTCAGCCACAATAGCTTCTTTTGTCTATCTCGGATAATCTTGGTTCCGAGAATATGCTTTGTAGGGCCGAGGTCCTTCATTGAGAAGGACGAGCTCAATGCCTTTTTCAGGGCGGCTATCCTCGATTTGTCTTTCCCTACAATAAGCATGTCGTCAACATATAACAACAAAATCAGAAAATCTCTGGCCTCATACCTCTTCACAAATACGCAGTGGTCGGCTTCTATCTTCTCAAACTTATGATCAATCATGAATGATTCAAATTTCCTGTACCACTGTCGAGGTGCTTGCTTCAAGCCATATAGGCTCTTCTTCAACCGACATACCAAATCTTCTTGGTCTGTAGCTCGGAACCCTTCAGGTTGCTCCATATATATTTCTTCTTCTAAATCACCGTGAAGAAATGCCGTCTTCACGTTCATTTGTTCTACCTCGAGGTCCATCGAAGCCGCCATGGCTAACACGGTTCGGACCGAGGTCATTTTCACAACAGGAGAAAAAAT